TTCGTCCTCTTCCCCAGGTCGCTGCGCCACGGGGGGCAGAACGAACGGATGCGGCGCTCTCGCCCGCGGGGACACCGGCGGGGGTGGCGCCGCCGCCTGCGGCGGTGGAGGCGGTAACGGCGGCGGCGAGTCCAAGAGCTGCAGCTGGCTGGCAATGAGCAGGTGCCGGAGGACCATGTGCAGGATGGGCCGCAGGTGCGTGCGGACCTCGTAGCACGGGGGCAGCGGAGGCGTGTTCGAGGTCCTCGGGCGACAGACCACCTGTTAAACGATTGCGCCCGTGTGCGCGCGCGTGTGTGTGTGTGTGTGTTTCCGCCCCGACAGCAACGACCACAAATCACGGCACGCATGGAGTGGGAGAAGAGCGATTGGGTGAAGGACGGGGGTAGCGTTGCGGAGAACACGCGCGTCGACGAACGCACACGGAAAGCCCCGAGAGAGGAGGCGAGAAGAGTCGCGGCGAGAGGCCGCTAATTTTTCTTTGTTTTATGACTTTGATGATAGGACACAAACAATAGAGAGCGCAGAGGTAGAGAGATAAACAAAACACCCTTTTCCAAACAAACAAAAATCCTGAAAAAAAAAGGCAACAACGAAAACAGTCGAGGATATCTCACCGCGCTGGTGCGCCGGGGTCTGACGTAGAACGACGGGGGCAAGGAAGAAAGCGAAGAAGGCCCACCTCCCTCCCCTCCAAAAAAATGCGGGACAACAAAACAATAACCTCCCCGCAGCACGTAACTGCCAAAATGTACCTGGGAGGCGTGGACCATCGTGCCCAGCAACGGTTGCAGCCCCAGATCCACCCGCTCTGGGTCGCAGCTCGCTCCCGGATCGAGCGAAAAGACCGGGGACGGCGTCATTCCGTGCCCTCCCCCGGAACCCGTCGCTCTCCCCGGGGTCAGCAGTCGCTGCACCGAGGGGGGGCAGGGGTCAAGGCGCATGGCCGGACACCACACGGAAAATTCCTCGGTACCTTCTTCTGCGGGGACAGAAGGGAAAAGGGGCACAGAAAAGAGAGCGGGGGGGGGGCGTACTGACGTTTTGCATGCATAGTGTGGGTGGGGGAGGAACAAGAGTTGGAAAAGCGTGTTAAGGAAGGGGGTTGAGATCTGCCGCTCCGGTTCGGCTAGAGGACCACCAAGAGAAAAGACAAGAAACAAAGCGGCAGTGAAGGCACGGCAGGAGCAGCAAGGATTCAAGCAGGAGAGCTGTGCCCTACACACCGGCGAGAGTGGCATAAAAAAACAACCTCGACGTTGCCTCTCTCGCTTCGAGATCGATCCCTCCTGCTCCGCCTTCAACAAGTAAGCCAAGGTGACCAGGGCGACATTCAAAACTTGGTAAATCTCTGGAGACACGTTCGACTTGCTGCTCTCTCAAAGCACGTGCCAGGGTTTGTTGCCATGAACACCACCTTCGCGGACAACAAAAACAATTCCAACCGTACTCTTTTTGGGACTCTTGGCGGCCGAACCTCTCGTATCTTTATCTTCTCTCGTCCCTCACCTTCGCTGCCCTCATCACCATCATCACCATCACCCGGCCTTTGCTCCCACCGACGACCGCCGCCGCCGCCGCCGCCGCCGCCGCCACCCACTCTGCCCTTCCTTCGCAGAAGGTAGCAGGGGTGGACAAGCAGCGGCATCTCCCACACCTCCCAAGCTTCGGACACGCCCTGCAGCCGGAGCAGCGAACATGACAAAGAGCGTGCGGTACGAGGGACCAAAACCGACTCAACACACAAAATAGGAAGAGGACATCGCGTGTTTGCAAATCCGCTTAACCGGGCAGCACAGCTACGCAGCGATAGACCTTTGGGCTTTTAGGGTGCAGTCCACTTCGGGAACGAAAACGTCAAACGCGCTTATCTCCGTTGTGTCGTCGAGTCAACGCCACACCAACACGCCGTCATCGGGAAACAGCCGTCCCACTCCTCGCTGAAGAGTAGACAAGCATACGGCAGCGGAACAAATTTTCACGTCGACCACCGGAAAAACCCGATCACCAAACGTTTCGCCCCCTAGCACCCAGATGCGTTCGCCATCGAACCACCTACAAAAGCTGCCTTTTCACGCTGATCTACCGATGCCGAGCGGACACTCTGCCTTGTTCATCAAGAGAAACAAAAGAATGTACACTTTTTTGGACGAAAAACAGCTCGTCGTTCTCTGTAAAGAACAGCTGATAGTTGATGCCATGGACGACGATAACGAAGTCCTGTGCGATTTATTTTCGCCACTTTTAGTCAGCGCTCTCAGCGTTTCCGCCGGGTGTAGGAGGTAGGAGCCCCGATCCGTGGTCACACAGAATGGTTCCTCCTCCCCCTTCGATTGATTCTACTTGAAGAAAATATTCAATTTACACCTTTACACACAAAACCCTCTCAAGATCTGCAAGTCGGCTGACCCTCTACCGGGTGATAACGACAATGAAGAAACACCCTGCCCTGCCTTCTGCCTCTCACCGTTAGGTCGACCACGGACTCGACGCCCTCTGCCACCCTCCTGACCATCCCGCTGCTCATCTCCATCGTCACCATGTTCCCGTCGAAGTCTAGCAAGGCGATAGACCTGCGCGGTCCACCAGCGGCACACAAACATACCAGTACAGCGGTTTCACACGCGCGTGTTGTCGCTATGAGAGAAAATCTGCCTACAAGTTCTCCAGCACAAAAGTTGCATCGAAAGCAGACGGTACCGGCATCGCAAACAGTTGTAATGATGAAATAAAATAAAAAACTATTTGTGGGTTGTAAGAGAAAAAAAAACGACACGGACGAAACGGGGTGCTGCTTAGCACTCCCTCCCCCCACCCCCCACCCTCCCCCCCCGTATGGTAGAGGCCTTGCTCTGGTTCAACGGCGACAGACGAGACACCGAGACCAGAAACAACAAAAAAGGTGACGGTGCCGGTGTGCATCGATGAACGAGGCTCCGTAGGCACGACAAGCGGCGCAACAACAACTGAACGGCCCAAATAACCCAATACTTAACCCAAGATACTTTTTCCACCCAACTCATGGCGCAACAACAATAAATATATGTGTGTGTTTTTTTAATTAAACTAAATTAATTTTCGTGTTTTTAGAGGACAAGTGAGTGACCCAAACAACTCATGAGACTGTTCGACCCAACCCATCTCGGAGATCACCACTCGCCCCCCCCCCCACCGCCCCCGTTTTCTCACCGAGGATGAACCTCGGGCAGCAGCATCACGCGCTTGGGAGGACCGATCTCCGGCAAATCGCCGCCCTCCCGCCTCGCCTTCCTCTTCTCACCCTGGCCCCACCCCCCCATCCCCGCCCCAACCGCGAATCCCCCTTTAACGTCGCGGCTGCCGCCGCTGTTGGGGCTGCCGCTACCACCCGGCCCACCGCCTGTCGCCGCCGCCGCTCCGGGGGCGGTATCCGCCGCGATCGGCCGGTGTTCGGTCGGGGTCTCTTCGTCGGGATTAGGGTCGGACGACGGCGACGGGTCGGTGTAGTGCTGGTCGGGCTCCATGTTGCCGAGTACGTGCGGCAGCGGCCCCTCGTGGAGCACGCTGTAGGTCAAGTTCCCCGCCTCGAAGACCCCGCCGGTGCAGCTGTGCGTGAGCGCGGCACAATCACAAGAGGGCGTGACGTTTTGTGAGACATGGACATAGCCTGTTTTGCAATGCTGCGAGATGCATGTATGTGTGGAGCCCTCTGTGGAGGGTACACACGCTGCAACAGATGTCCGAGCGGCCAAATTTAGAGGTGACGAACTTAGAAAAACGCGTTTTGCACGTTGCATGAATGCATGGAGCTTCCACGTGGTGGAAACGCTGCAACGTCTGTCCGGAGCAGTCAACCGACACGGGACGGACAGAGAAAACCCTTCCTGAAGAACAAGCGTGTTTGTCGGCACCTTTTCGCCGTACACGCTCACGCGCTCACACTCGCACCGAGAAGAGTGGTCTAGCAAGCAGTCGAAGGAGAGACTGACACCTCGCCTCGATAACTTCCGAAAAACAGTCGTTCAGCGGCAGAATGCACGCGATCTCGCGCTGTACTACGCACGAGCGTACCCACTTCCACGCCAACCGTCTCACACCACACCGTTCCGTAGAAAAACCCACCAGAGCATCCGCGAGGGAAACAACGCACCCGCACAACAGCGCCCTACACACCGATATGGCCGGAACGCCACCACACGCAATTAGCGGTAACACACACACACAACAGCAGCGTCTTACACACTTGACTGCCACCGCGTTCAAGTAGCGGCTCCCGTTCAACTTACCTCAAGCGGTAAAGAAGGTAGGACGTTGATCCAGCCACGAGGAGGAACAGGACGTCGGTGCCAGGCCTGGAGCCCCCCTCCTGAACAGCCTGCGCCAACCAAACACACACAGCCGGCTCCGGTCGTTACAGGTGCCTGCCGCATCGCGGTGCGCTTCCCACCACCAAACCCCGTTACTGTAATACTGCTGCGCGACACATATTGAGCTGTCTGTCGCGGGTCACGTTGGAATTCCCTCCGACCTTCTACGTCCAAGATTTTCGTGACGAATTGCGGAAAGTTGAAAGAAAATTCGACTTCCTGGGGATGAACCCCCAAAAAAGATGACAGCGCCCCTGTCTGCACGCACAAAAAAAACTTCTTGAAGAACCCGAAAATTCACTCACGCCGCACACCGCGCGCTGAGAAAAATAAACTCTCTCTTGACACACAAGTCTTGTCACTCTGGTGTGCTAGGAACGTCGAGTGGAGTCATTTTCTCGAAGTACTTTCCGTTCATTTAGGTCTTCGCTGACCGCCCTGGTGGCTCAGTTGGAAACCTCGCGACCTTGTGATGCTTACTTGGGGGATGTGAGCACAAGCCTTGGCGTAGGTAGCCACACAATCTGGGATTTTTTTTCTCAACATGTCTATGCCCCAAATTCGCGATTCCTTCGTGTGCCAACCAAATTCCAACTCGGCTCACGGTCGACAACGGCAAGAAACAGCCCGCTCGCCATCAGACAACAACAACAACAAGACGCGCATCGAACCTGCATGAACAAGGGTCGCATGCCCACGGGTAGCCGTATCGGCGGGATCATGAGGGCGTCCGAGCTTAGGTGCTTCCTCGAGAACAGCAGCAGGATGAAGCCGTGCTTATGCCGAGACGCCACCACGAGGGCAGACTCCCCCCACCAACACATCCCAGCCACTTGCACTTCTCGCTCCTGTTCAGAAAAAAAAAAATGAGGGGCAGGAATACCGGGGGCACAGCAGATTGGTCTGTTTGCGTGTTGTTCTTAAGAACAAAAATGCTTCGACTGGGAGTATGCCTAATATTGGCACAGCCTTTGCCGGAAGAGACCGCCGCGGGATAGGTTCCAACTGCGAACCACGGATTAAAAACAACACAACGGGACGGTTAAAAAAACACCCAACTAAAAACTGTCGTTGTACATGGTCGGCAGCAGCTGCTGCTGCTGCTCGATGGCCTTTTCTTAACCTGCTCGATGTTCCCGAAGAGCCGCCATCGGTTGGTGGGCCGGCTGTAAACCGCGAAGCCTCGAGACCCCGCCACGGCCACGTAGGTCCCGGCTCGGCTCGTGCTCACGTGACGCAAAGGAGCGTTGGAGGAAAGATAACCCGGGTGCACCTGTGGCCAGAGGGCGCGCGCGGGGGGGGGGGGGGGGGGGGGGGGGGGGTTTACCCCCCCTTTTAAATAAACAAAAGGCCCCCCCTTTTTTTAAAAAAAGGGGCCCCTTCCCCGGCTTTTTGGGGAAAAAGGCCCCCCCCCCGGGGGGCGGGGGCCCGTCCCCCTATTTTTTTGGCCCATTTTTTTAATTTAAAAAAATGGTCCCCTTTATTTCCCCCCCCCCCCCGTTTTTGGGCCATAAAAAACCCCCCCCCTTTCCCCAAAAATA